TCTCTCTCTCTCTCTCTCTCTCTCTCTCTCTCTCTCTCTCTCTCTCTCTCTCTCTCTCTCTCTCTCTCTCTCTCTCTCTCTCTCTCTCTCAGGATAGACAGGTGAGAGACAGAAATGACCTGACATTAAGGCCATGTGAGGCAGAAGCAGAAGCCGCAGAACACATTTTTGTGGATGAGAATCACGAGGTTGAGAACTTACGGCTGAAGTTCACGAACAATGTCCACAAGAGCAAGGCCCTTCACTGTTTTCATCTCTAAGATCCCTGTGAAAAAAGTCTTGTCAAGGAAAATGCAAATAATATTGACCAAACAACCGAGAAGGAGATACACAAACGAACAACCTGAACCAATAAGAGACAGGCGGCCGCAAATCCTTGCATCAACATCAAACCACCAGTCACTTTCCCAGGCATTTTGTTACGCCACAGCCATTAATGTGCCGCATCCTTCGAGGCTCGGGCTGCTGGGTGGAAATGGCTGGTGCGTTCGCACCGGTTCATCTCTTTTACTGGCACGCATCAGAAAAAGTACTAATGTGACAATATCCTCAAAGTCTAAGTTTAATTCTCTCTCACAGGACTGAGAACTCCCAACTCTCAGGGGCAGGCCCCACTGGTGCTATGTCCATGATGAGAAAGCATGAACCTGGCTGCTTGTATAACTAGGTTCCTGCTTTCTAAAAACAAACAAATATAGCATGGTGTGGGTGGAGCCTGATGTCCATGCTGAGAAAGCATGAACCTGGCTGCTTGTATAACTAGGTTCCTGCTTTCTGAAAACAAACAAATATAGCATGGTGTGGGTGGAGCCTGCCCCTCAGAACAAACATAGCATGGGTTTGGAAATGCTAACATGGTCATCGTCTCTGGAGCCTGACCCTCGAAAGAAACGAGTTCAAAATGTTAAGACGACCATAGAGTCTTGGGAAGGCCTCCTTTTTTTTCTCAACCAAACGGAAAAATGCGAGATCAGATGGACAGGAGGCAGGTAAGGGCCTGGATCCACCGGTGCTACGTTCATGCGTGGAAACTGTGACTGGCTGTTTTAATGGCCAGGTTCATCCATCTTAGCATGGTCCTGGTACTAAGAAGAAACAAACAACTAGTAAAGAGGTATGAAGTTGCTGTCCTTCATGACATCCTTATAATTGGAACAATACGCAGAAGACGGGCACAGCTCCTGCAGAGGGCTACGCTGCATTTTTTTTTGCTCCCGCCCCCCCCCCCCCCCCCTTTTGTTCTTGTTTTCACCCTTTGTTTCCAAAGGGGGACGAAAAAAAAGAAAAAGGACGGAGACATCAACAGATCCACTGGCATCCATCGGGAGGGTTGAAACAAAGCCATAGGACGAAAAACTATAGGTCGAAAAACTATAGATCGAAAAAATATAGTTCGAAAAACTATGTTGCTGACTGGTACGTTCATGCGACTGGTAATAAACCATAGCATCAATCCGAACTGCCAACAAATCCCCCTTACTGGCATCCATTAGGTAAGCCATAGGTTGAAAAACTATGTCGCTGACTGGTACATTTATGTGACTGGTAATAAACCATGGCAGCCATCCAACCTGCTCGGGCAAGCCCGCACATGCAGTGGATGTCCGGACGTGGATGCAGAAAACAATAAACCAGATGCAGCCCAGTTCGCACCGCTGAATGGTAGACACATACATGTAGCAGTGATCCAAACAGTTCGCACTGCCCGCACACATGTGACCAATACACCTGCACCAGACATGTCCGTGTGGACATGCACTGATGCGGACAAAAGGTGGGGTGGGCGGAGGGCAGGGGGTCGGTTCCAGTTGGGAAAGGGTAGCTAAGGTCATGGGAGCAGCGGGGGTTTGACGGGAATGGTCAAAGGATGGTTGATTTACAGAGGGAGGGGTAGGAAAGAGAAGTCAGGGAGCCTGAAATTGTTTTTCAATGTTTGTAACCTCTGTTCTGGCAGACACGCAGTCAATCCGAAGGCCGCATGCGGACATACGTACACAGACACACGAACACAGAGGTGTCCGCTGCAGTAATGTAATACAAAGATCACAAGTTCAAATCCTGTTACGGCGCAGAGAAAATTAGCATAGCCCCTGCAAAGGATGACATGCATATAGATCGAGAGATGGGAAAAAAAAGACTACTAACACGATACTGAGGAGTCAAAAGACAGAGGCATTTGAGCACACGACCACGAACGGGACTCAAGAGATGGTGCAGTATGACTTGGCTGTGGCTTTGCCGGCTGTCCAACGGTTTGGTCGTGGCATCCCTGGATGTCCAAAGGTTTTGACAGCTCGAACGCAGAACCTGTCAAGTTATATTAGCAGCTGCGCTACCAACCACGCCGGCTCGGTCACCTAGGTTGCCCGGACAGCCCGGGCGGGCAACGGCCAGGGAATGTCCCTGCAAAAAAACAAACAACAAAAAAAACGTCCAAAACATCCCAAAAAAACGCTTTGTTTGTTCACCAAAATAAACTGGACAACAATTTGCCTCACCATCACATCGAAATTCTTTGCCAAATGGACCCACTTTTCTCCTAGGCTACCAGAGTGGCCCGCGACCACTTGTCAGGCAGGACCAAAAAAAAAAAAAAAAAAAAAAACAATTAATTAATAATTAAATTAATTTTTAATTATATTATTCGATGTGTCCCTGAGGCAAAAGT